GTCTTCTCCAAGTTGTGTACCATGGTTCACCAGATGATTCAACCTGAAATGCTTCTATAAGATAGTTCCATGCTCTCTCCAAGTCAAAATCGCCAAGAGGAACTTCGACACCAGTAATCGTTTTAAGCCCAATTTTAGCTAAAGCAGGAGCACAAAGAAGTAGGGCTTTTAATGCTGCAATGACTCGATCTAAATTTGTTTGTTGATAATTCTTATCACCACAAATGCTATTTAATGTGTTTTTAATAATTTTGAAGAGATATTTATTGTCATAATTGCATTTAAAGCTTTTGACGTTTCCACCCGGTTCATTGAATTCTGAACAATTAGGCTTCCAAAAATCTCTTCCATGTTGCATAATCTTTTCATTCGTTCTTTTGTACATAGAAGTAGTTTTTCTAATGTCATCAAGAAACCGACTTGCAAGTGTAGGTTTACGCTCACACAATTGCTCCAGTATAGCCGTAACGGTTCGTAATTGCCATTCTAGTTTAATAGGTGTCTCTTCTGAAAATGCTTTGTCGTCTGTTTGAGGACGCAGCCTCTCCATCGCCGCTATTAACGTCTCTAATGACACAGATTTTCCTTCATGTTCAAGAATATATTTGAGAGCGTAAAGATTTTCTAGACGATGTATGTTCACCAACAATTCCTCTGTTTGCAGATCTGCTGAATTATGTCCTTGTTTAATCAGCTTGCGAATAAGTTTAGGGGAACTGCCTTGGTTTACAACGCTGTTCAGCGTTGATACGTAATTGGTGGAGGTTGAGTTGTCGGTTTCCTATAATGTAAATGTAACGGTTAACACTTAGTATAGAGTATTGTCCAATATATAAAGTGTTTTGTTCCATACCTTGTATGCCATTGACAAAAATAACCATTTAACAACGACACTGCAGATATAAGTGCTATCTTCATACCTCTTTATCGGGGGTAGGCTAAGCGGAGTCACACAGCAGGTGCCACAGATCAACACGCCCTGCGTGCATTTATGAAGGGTGTGCATTTAGAATCTGATTGGTTTCATGTGATATTAGCAAGATGCTCCATTATCATTGGTTTATTATTTAAAAAATTAATACATCGTTATTGTAATTGACTTTATACTGGTCAAGCGCTTTGACATGTTTAAACAATCTCTCAGACTTGCAAAGAGCATAGCGATAAGATTTCGAAGTCCATTAGCGCTAATGATATTCGATAAGCTCAAAAACTGCTTCTTCTCTCTTGATTATTTAAAATCTTTAACTGACATGACGATCATTGAGAATTATAAATGAAGATTATAAATGAAGATGGCAAATCGAATTTAACAGTAATTCCCTAATTTAGTCTTTGTTTGCAGTAAGTGTCACAATTTGATATGTAAATTATGGGTGTGCATTTAGAGAGGGTAGGTTTATTATGATAGGGCTTCGATAATAGCGTGCAGTGCAAATGTGGAGGGTGTGCATTTACGTCTAACTCCTGAGCTTGGGATGAGATAGCGTGTATTTGTGGATACGCTTTATGGGTATATAATTTCCCAACAGCACACGTGCTTCTTTTAACTTAGCAATAAAATATATATTAAACCAATGACCATTGCCGTAATACTCTTGTCACGGCTACAACAAAAAAAAATATTATCCTAAAGGATGCTCTTTCCAGTTTTCCCCGGAACGTTATATTAAATGTTCATTATTGCGTGCGTTGTGTTTAATTATGGCCATCAAATTCTACCCTATTATTTGTTACACTGCGCTAATTGACGATGCTTCTTTGTCAAAGATACCAGTAAATGAATATGTGATGTTTTCAAATAACTTTTTGGTATACAGTCAAACCTCGATATAGTAAAGTCGACGAGGACATGTTGTAATTAGTATATTATACTAGTATACTGATATTATACAGTTACAAATACATAAGATAAGCGTCTGTTCCTTTTCAGCGACTTCAAGTTAATAGACTTCGTATCGCTTCAGAACCGGGTTTAAAATATAAAACACTGTCAGAAAAGAGAGACAGCAATTGTACTGTATTTAAAACTTTATTTTCTTAACCGTGGTTTTTTATTACGTCTTTTTGAGTTGTGCGACTTATCTTCAACTGGCTTAACCGGCGTAAGTGTCGTTAGATGATGCAAGCATTCAATTCATCTAATGTATAAATTGAGGAGCCAACAGTGTGCTGACTCTGTATAACGTTTTACTGGTAGTGGCGCCAGGTAACATACTTTTTACTTACCGAGAAATGGGCAACGTCATATGATGCAATGTTGCAATATGTGAGCTTATTCTATAGCGTAGAATCGACGAGTTTATGAAGAGTTATTTCATGGACGTCTATGGTTTGTGTTAAATATATAATATGTTGGGAAAAACAGTTAGATGGGTTATCAGGTAGGCTTTGAATGTGAAGCATGCATGCGTCTTCGGGTAGGTTTGAATTGACTGTAATGATATCTATTAGAAACTCGGTTCGCGGCACATACTTCCTCATCGAAAGAATTTTAAGAGAATGTTTACGATTGTTTGTAATGTATTTTTGAGCAGAGAGTATAATGTATTATTTGTATAATAAGAGATTGCACTTTTCTTGTCGTGTACAGTATATTATTAATTAATATAGGTAGCTGTTTACAATATCGGTGAAAAGTTTAGTTATTAGTGAAATTGCATATATGTAAACAAATATTTACTTGTAATCGGAAGCTACGTTTATTATGATGTCAGTCATGAACAAAATATAGTTTGCGCGAGAGTATACCATATTTTTCAATTATCATAAAAGTGATTGCTTCCATTTAGCAGAAAACGGGATGATATTATTATTATTTCGGTCATTCTGTAATGTAAGAACATTGTAGTTTGTACGTATTTAAATACAGTCAACTCTGTTCATACCGAACGGGTTGGCATAGCTCTCTGTGTCCTTCCGGATCCGGTATAAACAAAGAATATTCACATGAAACGAACGGTGCTCAAGAATCAGTCTGTCCGGTATAGAGAGATTCCGGTATATACATTTCCGGTATAAACAGAGTTGACTGTATATATCTTAAATTCTACCAAATTATTTACAGTAACAAACTATGGCAATAATCTGGAAGTTTATATAATTGCTAATTCCATTTCGTCTCTGCTTAATTGCTTAATTATACAATAAACCCTCTCTAAATGCACAGCAATTGCTCAGTCCCATGATGGGACTTAAGACGTTCTATGTTCGTATGCAATTTCATGTGATCATTGATCTACCAATAATCATGTAATAAATGTCCCGATATCTTTGATGGTTACATAATCGGACGGTCTTATTATTATCTTCGGGGACTTCATATAACATTACTCTTATTAATACTCACGGTATTGGATTTTCAATGAACCATATTAATATTGATATGTTGAAATAAAGCATTTTCACATTTTTAATATTTTCACATATCTAATTAAAAAAAAAAAGACTCTTTCGCATTAATAAGTTTCAATGAAGCGACAAATGTACTAACGTCACGAATTTTAGTGTATATTATGCGAAAAGGTCCCGTGAAATAAAATGATTAAATGCACGCATCGTCGGTCCCGTGCACTTGGAGAAAGTTTACTGTACATGCAATTTAAATAAGTTTATAATACACTATTTAAACTTGCAATAGGCAAGATTTTACAACAGTTTGATAAAGACTTAGATTAAATTTAACTTGCGTTTGCTTTACAAGCCGCAACTGTGTATATGGAAACTTTGCCTGCGTACGTACAACATGACTTGTTGTTGACAATGGGCGATAACTTGTATTGTTTACAAACTAACCTCAACAAGATTTTTGGTTACATATACAAACCTATTTGCGTATTAGCTGAACAAGTTTTTGTCTATTTGCTTTAGCGGTATATAACTGCTACTTTTCTGAATTGAATCGCTGTCTGATGGTTGTATTGTTAATAGACGAGTAATTGCACACTTGCGTATTCATAAACATCAGCATTGTCGCAGCCCAATTTACTCCATTGTCAGTCATTCAGAATCGGTAAACTTGAAAGGTGTAAAAGCATTCGATTTTTTGATACGTTGGGTCATTGTCATGCAATACGCAGTCTTAAATATTTGTGTAACTTCTTGGCCTTTTAGCCGCCGAGAGATTCATCATACCTATTCAGGAATACAATATTTAGACCATCCTGATATATTCAAGCCAAGTATCGTAAAATCTCTTTCCCATATTAGGAGTTGGAAAATTCTGCCGAGACTCACGTGTCTGATGAACGGTCCAATCACACCCTGATCTACAATTGACCCTGTTAATCCAGGTTGCATGTTGTACAAGTGTATAATCTTAAATCTTGCATGTATAGTGCATGCTTCATATCCTTTTCGATGTTAGATCTCTGGGCATGAGAAATCTTTTTCTTCTTCTTTTTCTTCTTTCCTTCTATTTTCTCGATAATGTACGGACAGAGTTTATCGATAAAATGTTAGCATTAGTATAGCTATGGAATAATGCAGGTTGAACACAGGAGACGGGTCAGTGAAACCTGGACACATTCCATGCATGAATGAGATATGCCGTGATATCTAAAATTAGCCGCTGATCGTTTCAGATTTATGCGAGTGTTGCTCCGGTTATCCAGCGACGTCTTTTTATTGCACACTTGGTAGTTTGCTCGCAGGTAAAAAAACCAAAACGACAACCATTATTCATATGTAGTCACGTTTATTCAAAATCCCGAATTAACAGACATAATTGTCTTTTCTTTATGATATGTGTCAGTTGTAATAATTAGACGCTATGTATTTTCTATTATTTCTACCGGATGGTGTTTTCAAGATTGTAGGGGCGGTACGTTCTTAGCGACTATGCAAAATGCTGTTTGCATGCAACCTCTTATCATATAATTGTTATTCTCTCGTTTATTAGCTTTGTACTTTGGCCTTACTATTTGTTATATTGTTAACGTATGCTTCTCTTTTTCTAGGCTGCAATTCTAAACATATTGATCCTATTATGTTTAATCATTATGAAGAAAGAGCGTGCGATGTCTGCCTACAAACTGCCTGTTAGCATATCAGTCCTAGTGACATGTTCGCTTATCGTACTGACTAGGACGAACACGGCAGCAGACTTTACCAACCTCGATCAGCTAGCAATACGCTATTACATCGCACTGGGTGTTCACCAGCTGACGATAATGATGATACTGACGGTCATGATACATGTACTGACACAAACAAAATATAATAGAGTTGATCATAGTTTTCGTGTTATTTCGTTGATTACACTCTGGATATCGGGGGTAAGCTCATCACAACATTGATACGAGTCTGTGTTTCGAACAATTGCATATTGAAGCATCTCCACATTTTTGTCTTTATAGGTTGGGTATTCAGCACTTACGTTGGGTCCGCTATGGGGCATTGTTGGGATTAATATTTATCACACATTGGTATATACAATTTTTGCACTTAGAGCAGTCATGGTTCTATACGTTATCATTCGTTTATACCAAAGTAAAAACAAAGCCACAAGCACATTATTCATATGCCATCAAATTAGACTATTATTTGTACTTATAGCTTTACTAATCGAAGGACCCGTCTATATTCTTATTTTTGCAAAATCTTCCACCACATTGATTGTACCCATTGTTTGGTCAATAGTTATGATTGTAATTTTATTCTTACTATCATGCCCATTTGAACAATTTGAAACCAAGTTACAAAATGTGCGGGCAGAGGAAGAAGTTAAGCCTGAGTATAAGACGGGTTTAGATATTGGGGTTCCATATGATGTTCATCAAACTAATGATGGACGTCAAGAAACTAATGGTGGGCATCAAGGTCTTCAAGGACAGCAGGCTTATCCACCACAGGATTATGTACTACCAACGTACACACAGCAACTTTTACAACAAACTCAAAGGCAACAAGCTCAAAGGCAACAAGCTCAGAGGCAACAACAGATTCAGACGCAACAGACCCAGTCTCAAAGACTGCAGGCTCAGGCTTCAAGACAGCAAGCTTATATACCACAATCCTATGAGGATCAGGGTCATACCCATGTACGGCAATCTTATGAAAGACGAGGTTATGAGCAAGCTTATGTTCCGCAGACTTATGAACCCGCTTACAAGCCACGGACATACGAGTCACAGACTTATGAGCCACAGACATATGGGTCACGGTCACAGACATACGAGTCACAGACACAGTCATCGACATATGGATCATCACAGTCACCGACATATGGGTCACGGTCACAGACATACGATTCACAGACACAGTCATCGACACAGTCACCGACATATGGGTCACGGTCACAGACATACGATTCGCAGACACAGTCGTCGACATATGGATCATCACAGTCACCGACATATGGTTCACGGTCACAGACATATTCTGAGCAAGATTATGGGCAACAATTTTACTCGCCACGAGCTTATGAGCAACCGCCACCACGAGCAGCAATGACAAATTTTGCACAAGGTAGACCAGTTCATTATAGTGCGTCTTCATCATCTGATGAATAATTTACTTGTGATATCAATGTACATGTTTTTCACAATCTGTTAGAAGTAAGTTAGATACAATTATTGATTTCAATGTCAAATACATAAACGTTGCAAGATATTAATGTTATATATTACATTATTAGAGTTACTAAAGTATGTAAAATTTACATAATAAAATGTGACACTGTAAACTGTTGCATGAATGGATATATCACAGTTTGATATACACTACCCTACCATAAATCACCGGATTTTTTGTCACGTGGATCAAATGATAATTTTACACAAGGGGGTTTT